ATCAAACGCTTTTCTGAAATCCAGGAAAATCCCAATGGTATATGCATGATTTTCTATATTAGTAATTATTTTATCTTTGATATATATTAGAGCTGATTCGGTTGATTTCCCTTTCTGAAAACTAAACTGTTTGTCAGTTATAATATTATTAATAGTAAAAAACCTGTAAAATCTTGAATTAATTATTTTTTCTACAACCTTGGAAAAAAGTGGTAGTACAGATATAGGCCTGTAATTATTAAGGTTCTCATATGTGCCTCCTTTGTGGATAACACTGACTTTAGCAATTTTCATTTTTTCTGGGAATATACCAGAAGCCAATATTTTATTACAAAGATCAACAAGAGGAGGCAACACTAACTCCGTTACTGCTTTAATAGCGGCAACCTTGATATCATCAACACCACTTGCGCAGTTATTTTTTAGGGACATTAGTATGTTGCGAACTTCTGTTTCATCTGTTGGTTCTAAAAATATTGAGCTTAATACCGGAACAGATGAGTAATGGTTATCATATACGGTCGCTGATTCACATGCACCAGATGACAGAAAATGTGTATTAAATTTATCTGCCAATAAAGCTTGCGTATATAGAGTACCATCTATTTTAAGTTCTTCAGGGATGAAAACCGGATTTATTGACATTAATTTTCTCATAGTATTCCACAGCTTAGCTGGGTCTTTATAAATTTCAGAGAACGTAGATTTATAAAAGTTTATCTCCACCTTTTTAATGTCAAGGGAAAGTTTGTTTCTGATTTTTTTATATTCCATAACTAAACTCTTATCTTTAGTTTTGATAAACGTTGCAAACATCTGATCACGTACTTTGATTCGGTTGTAAAGTTCCAGCGTTACCCATGGCTTCCTTGACTTTTTATGTTTCTTAATCTCCGCTTTTGGGAAAGCTTTATTATAATATTCTTGAAGCTTTGATATAAAAATATCGTAAGATTTTGTCGGGTTAGGTTCCTTAGAAACATCATCCCAGTTTTCTGTCAAAACTAGATTATAGAAATCTTCCAAAGTGGTTGCGTTTATGAGTCTGGAAAATACTGGGTTATTGCGCAGGAGCTTGTGTTGTGAATTGTGTTGGGGGAAGAAGCAAAAAAACGGTAAGTGATCGCTCAGATCTGCAGTTAGAACTCCAGAAAATACATCCGTTTTTTGGTAATTCGTTAAACAAATATCGATTAGTGATTCCGTACCTTCAGTTATGCGAGTGGGAACGCTGATTATATTTTCACATCCGCTTGCTTGAGCGATTTCTAATAATGCTACACTCGCAGGTCCATTGGTCAACAGATCAGTGTTCATGTCTCCAACTAAAACTATTTTCTGATTTATTGACATAACATACTCAAGTAATTCTTCAAGAAAATTGAAAAAAACATTTAAGGCACCTGAGGGTGGACGGTAAACTGCAGCTATTATACAACCTCCGTAACCCACAACCAAAGATTCAAAATCATTATTCATACAAGTGAAATCATGCAGTACATGGTAGTTTAGTTTGTTTTGAATGTACAATGCAACACCGTCCCCACGACGAGATTCGCGGCAGATAACTTCACATTTATAATCTTGGAATCGCACAATGTCCGATTCTCCTGAGTACCACGTTTCGGTAAATGCAAGAAAATCAAACGGAGTAGAAAGTGAATCTAGGAAAAGACATACTTCATCAGATTTATTCCGCAGACTCCGTGCGTTTAGGTGAAACAATTTCAGTGTTTTTGCAGTGACAGCTTTATCAGTGATGCACCGATTGAATAATGCGCTGTCATAGTACGAAGGCTCATTATAATCGCGCGCCATTGTTGTGTCTATTTATTTAGTGGCTTTATACTTCCGGAATGTTTACTCAATTTTAGCTAGATCATTGTCATTGTCAATTCGGATAGGGCGATCGCCGGGTTGCTTCCTGACAAAAATCCTTCCGCCCTTCTGCCAGACAAACTGATAACGTTTTTCCGCTGCCTTCGTCTTTGCCTGCCAAAGCAATCTTTTTGTTTGCGCTGTTAGGTTGTCCATTAACCAGATACCCGACGCGTTATCTTTGAGAACAGCCCTTGCCTGGAACCATCGATCTCTAGTAAGTCGGGACGTGAAACGAACGAGAATCGGAGGAACCTTATCTGGCTTTCCGGGCATCCTGTGCAACGCTTCTACATCGTTTTCAGTCAGTTCAGCAACGCCTAGCTGGTCTGATACTTCTTTCAGTTTGTGCCACAGGTTTTCGTTTGGGAGACATGGAAACCCATGCACATCAAGGTTCTGTCTGCGGCTGTATTGTTGAAGCTCATTTACTTCCCGTTTTAAAGCTTCGACTTCTCTTTGGGTTCCGCTATTTTCCAGTCTTTCAACACGTTCCCCGAGTTCTTTAATATCTTGGTTTTGCTTTTTCATTTCCACAAGTATCTCATCATATTGATCTGACATGTGCTGCATAGACAGCTCGATTTTGTCTACTGTTTCTTTTATGGAGAGAAGCGCGTCAACTTTCGCTCCGATCGACATTAAGACATTCAGTTTTCTTGTTATTTCGGCCAACTGGTTCTCGGTTTTCTCTACCGGATCTTTTGATGAGGTTTGTTCCTTTGCTTTTGCAATGGTGCATGTTGAACATTGCCAGGACTCTCTTGTTTCATCGGTCATTTTTTTTAGAGCACTTTTTGTCACACCCGAACATTTGCCCATGTGATAGCTAAAACCACACTCTGAACAAGTCATGCACGCCCCCACTGGCAAGACTTCATGGCAGGACAAACATTCTTCTGCCTCTGCCATTTTTAGCTTCTTTCTAATATCAACCAATAGACAAAAGCAACAGCGGCAGCAGCGATAGCAACACCCAAAAGATCAAAAGATCACTTGATTTTGCATACTAAATGCTACTAATTTTTTTAAGAGTAAATATTTGATCTGAACTGCTACGTATTGTTACTCAAATTTCGGCACACTGGGCAACCAGTACTGCCGTGCTAGGCACATTTCTTCAGTGGGGAGCGATTTGTGGGGTTCGACTAAAAGCACGATTGAAAATTTAGTGGCTCGGAGACCAAAAGTCAGGACTCAACTTTCAGCTCCAGGGGTCTAAATGTAAAGGCGCGACATTAGTCCCAGGGGTCTAAATGCAAGGGCGCGACATTTAGTCCCAGGAGTGTAAATGCAAGGGCCTAAAATTTTGTGCCAATGGTCTAGATGTAAAGGTGCGAAATGTGGTCCCAACGGCCTAAATGCAAGGGTTCAAAGGTTAGACCTGGGGCTTCAACATTGACAATCTAACGGGAGGGGCGGAAAAGTTGCTCCCCTCCACATTAGTCTCCCAGAGGAATAATGATGGTGGCAGCGCATTTGGTGGCAGCGCAAGACTGAATCCTGCTTCCGCTTGTCTGAGAAAGTCGTAGACTGGTAGAAGCGTTAACGCTCCAAGGCGTTGTTTACGTTTACAGCTGTCGCATCTCGGAACCAAAGCAGGCCTTATTTCTTGATGCTGGACTGGAGAACTTATATTATGTTTGTGTGCGGAATGGAGTAATGCAGGTCTTAGACATCAATAAAAAAATCCAGAGATGGTGTGGTTTTTCGTTTTTTTGAAGAAACGATAGTACTCCAAGTTAGGAATCTAAAAAAGTGACATCTGAACTTCACGCGTTTTTTTTTTTTTTTGCTAAAACCTTGATTCATTAGCTTGCCATGTTTTTTTTTTTTTTTTTTTTTTCTAATTTAATACTCCAAAGTTAACTCATTCTGTGTGTGTCTCGGCTGAGAACATATATAGTTCGTGGTTCTTGCTACTTTGACCTTGATGCAAGGGCTCCCTTGTATTTGTTTAACAATGTTTTTTTTTCTGCTCTTGTTGCATTTTCTTAAAGTGGGATACAATTCTTGATTCTGGCTTTATGGGCTATATCTCCATAGGTTCCTGATTCATCTGGTCCAACCCAATATTTTTGACCAACTAGCTCAGCTTAATCCCGTCGTATAAACAATCTTGTGCGTGTGAGCCGCTCTGCCAATAAGGCTTGCAATAAGAAATAAGTTTGAAACTATTCGTACTCTGCTGGAGAAAAGGTAATAAAAGAGCCACATGCAGCTAAATATCTAGGAGTTACCATTACTGAAAATTAGAACTGTAATAACCACGTCCGTAACTTTTGCTCTGTTGCTCTTCTGGGAATTCGACCTAAGCTGTCTAGAACCCCGAGGCAAGTGAAGCTTAAAACTTACAAGATCTTTGTCGGACTTAGTCTAGAGTACGCCCCATATCTAGGCAACCCCTACGCGCTTATAAACACATCTTATCTCGAAAGAGTAAAGAAAATGGAAGCTAGGTTTCTCTGCAAATCGTATAGTGACTGATATGATTAATTTACTGAATTTTCAACCGTGTGTAGCTGGGTGCTTGGATAAAAGGATGACGTTTTTGTACATGATATACAGTGCTTTAACTCAAATAATATACACGGTTACATCGCTCCAGTGTCGCGACCGAATGCTGGTTCTAACAACGAAAAACTTATCGGTCAGTTTTCGTCCTTTAACAATACTCAAATTATTGTACTCTCTCATGAAAAAAAGCTGTGTGGAATCAGCTGTCAAGAAGTACTATATATAGTTCAAATGTAGAAACGTCCATTGCAAATTTAAGAACTGCACCCCTGTGAAAGCATTTTGTTATTGGTGAACCCAATGAGCTATGCCTTTTGTTGTTACTTCTAATATTTTTTTCTCTGTGTCTTTTATGGAGTTCACCCCTACCTGGAACCGAATGAATTCGCAATGATATTAAACATAATAAACAAAAATTACGACTTGCAAACGTTTGACACGTGAAAATCGTGACGGCATTGAAACTAAAACTAAACAAAAAGCGATTACATTGCCCAGACACGTAGACAGACCGAGGTATGTGTGTAGCCTGCTGTCACGACTGTTTATCAGTTCTGCACACGAATAAACTTTCCTTAGTGTAAATAAAAGATTGTATACGTTACCGGCAAATAAGGTTCTGTTCCTTTCTCCTATATAGGGAAACTTCGCGACGTTCTCCTCTGGTGCTGCAAGTGGATCAGCCGCGCTGCCACCGTGAACGGCCTGGTATGACAGGTAGAGGAACAACGGCTGCGCAGACGTCAGGTGGTCAACGTTGAAGCAATAACATATCACTTCAACTGAAGCTCCGAATAACACTAACAAAGGGCCCATCGAACGGCCTAAACATCTACGCCACCTTAGTGCGCGCAGGTTGTTTGAACTGCACAGTTTCCGTAACAAAACACGTACTAGCACAAAACGGCTGGCAAACTAAAACATTATTTTATGCTGCGTCACAACACTCAAATCCAGAAAGGACTCATCACAAATATGCATCGAGACAGTCAGTCTACGTCACTTCATGGCGTATTGTGACAACATGCGTGTCACGTGGTTCTACTCGTATTACCTTAAATTTTATTGGCGACCTGCGCCACCAACAGCGTCACTGTGGGCCACGATTGGCTAGAGTGCCTCAATCTTGCTAGACTGCCGTCCCTCCTGCGTGGGTACGATTCCGACATCTGCTAGCGGAACCGCCATATTGCCTCTTACTCATAGGCAACCAGTTATGTGCTATTTACTGAGATATTCAGCATTAACACTGGTGATACACCACGGGATACTTTAACAACACGTAACATCACACTTCCCATCAGATATGTAGACTTCTAAGGCGCATATTTGAGGTTCAGCTTTCAGTTTTCACGTTTGATGTCTGTTAACCATAGTCACTATCGTTTCATGCTTGTTGAGAAGCGAAATAGAGGCAATGAATTATTATATTTATACAAGCTCTTGGTGTCTGTACAGCCTTGCATTTTCACGAGCCCAAGCCGATTCGCCGGTCTCATGCATACGAGGTGAACACATCGCAAGAGGCAAAATGATGGCCACTGCAAAAACAAACAAAAAAGCGGCACTTGCCCGCCCAAAGAGTGTCACCACTCTAGCAGAGCACAGCCGACAGGCAACACTGAGGCACTCTACAATTTCCCAAATGCTCATTATGATATTTTCAACTGGATTAAATATGCTTTCATGGACGGATATAAGAACAACATGAGACTCGAATTTACCAGTGGTATTTTAAGACCGCGGTGACTCCAAGCTTCAATCGTGCTTTCTAAACGCGCCAGCGAAATTTCGCTATGCAAATTGTTATAAGCCGCCATGATTGCAATCAGTTACTTCACGGCGCTGCAAATTAAAGTTGTGACGTCACGTTGTTGGACTAGAAGAGGGCACCAGCGAAATACCTCAGCGTTGATACTCCGAACGTCTTTATTACACGTCAAACATCTAAAATATGTAGATTTGCGTCCGAAAATTAATGTGCGGCTACCCTAAAGACGAATGTTGTGGATCTTAAGGAATCCACTTCACCTCCTTATCCCTTTCATGCCATCCAGTTATTGTCGTTCTCATATAACACGACACAAGCAAAAGTAGCTATAAGTTTGTTTGTTTTTTCATATTGTCTGGTTCTTGGGCTTACGGCCGCCTTTTTGTACTCCGTTCACTCATAAACTGACAGGTCACTGTAGCAACGAGGTCGGAGGACCAACCAACCGCCTGCCGTACTTCCCCTGACCATTAACCTTTTTCTTTCTCTCTCTTTCTGCACGTAGGTGAAGGCGGGAGCATGATCATGTAGCAAAAGATCGACATATGACCGGTCCAAATGACATATAACCTCCACCTTTCCATCAGATCAGCGGCGAACGCCATACAAAACGTGTTCAGTTGTACCTTTAACAAGTACGATTCAGCATACTGTTTAATACCACGATTAATTTCTATTAATTTTGCTAACAATACTAACACTGGACATTCGGAAGACACATGGGGACCACTTTGGGCAGAAAACGTGTGGAAATTGTGGCTTACGGCCAAAAATATATTTTATAAAAACCAGTCCCTTAAGTAAGTTTGATGCGTCTTTCACGGATCTCAAAACTGAAGTGTTTAATCGCAGCACTAGTTAACGAAACGAATGAAATGGGTTTATAATTTCTTTTAACACATTGGAAAGTAAAACTGTCCTTCCTTTGGAATTTGTGTCAATGTCGGACCCATGTTTTTTTTTGTTTTTTTTAGTTGGACTCCGGTTTTTTAGCTTAGGCAAGTAAACTCGCAGTTACCAAAAAACATACCGGTAGAGTGCGCGCCAATACCCAATATGGCGGGACGTTTAAATGAACAATATTATATTTTTCTTCCGCACGCGAACATTTATTTTTATTTTTGCGCTCAAAGCAACGGGGCACTATATCACAGATTAAATCAGTGGCAACAAGTGCTGATAGCTACCTTATGCTTTGTTTCACTTAAAAATTACGCTCTAAATTCGAAACCGCATAGCCCATGGACCTTTCAAGTGATCCACCTCGTGTTTGCGGTAATTGGAACAAATTAAATAAAAATGGTTCTGTATTGGAAAACATTGTGAAATCTGATAAATGTGTGGCACTAATATTTTTCACCATCGCTGAAGTGCCGCGTTGATGAAAATTTTGTCAAAACAGAACATCAAATTTGAAGGTGTAGGATCACGGTCACAAGGAAGAAGAGGACGCAGGGGGAAGCTGCACACTAGATTTCGTGTTGAAAGTACAATTGTACGCGACTTTTTAAATCTCGCAAAGTTTGGGATATTCACGTCGTCACTATATTTACAGTAATTGCGGTCTTCGTGTCCTTAGCTCTCCGACGATATTCAACGCTGTATGGAACACACAAAATGATTTAAAATAGTAATAACGCTCTAACATATCAAATCATTATTATAGACTACATTTATCAATAAAATGCGTTCTTAAAGATCCTGGTCATGCGATTAGAAGATTAAAAACCTAGTAGTGGAAGTTATGCTGCTGCTCACACCTCAATATCTTCTAGGCGCACCGGCTCGTGCAACAGAAACTCATTTCAGAGCAGCTAAACATGCAATAAAGGAAATATTAAAAAAATTACACCATCTTCCCGAGGGGAACCATGGGGTGATGCGGAGCATCGCGGATCGTTATTAACGGTGTTATAAACGGTGTTAGTAACGTTGTTAAACTTCACGGTCCCGAACCTCAGGTTCTGCTGCTCGACGTTCACGAACCGCCGCTGCTTCACGTTGTCGCAGTTCAGCATCCGCCGCTCGGCGTTGACGAATGGACGCCGCTTCTCGTTGCCGTAGCTCAGGGTCTGCCGCTCGCTTCAAGCGTTTGCGCTCAGCGTCGCGTGCCCTTCGCTGCGCAGCTTTGTCTTCAGTGGACGTAGCGTTGCTGTTAGTTTGTGGGGTGGTGGTCATGCTTGCTTGCGCCAACCCACTAACTGACGGGACTGTTGCTTCCATCATACTTCATCGGAAGAACGTAGTGAAGTGGAGTCAACAGCGGGTGAACTGAACGCGCGCAGCGCGCTACTGCTAGAGGAGGAGAGTTGCGCATGCGCGCGCGGTGTGAGTAGAAGCGAACGCACGCGAAGTGCACGCAGCTGGTAGAGAGAGAGAGCGGAGAGAGTAACGCGCAGCTGTTGGAGAGAGGGAAGGAGGAGAGCTGCGCATCCGTAGTGTGAGTGCAGACTACGACGCCGCGGGACATAGACCCAAGCAAGAGATGCTCCGCATCTCAAATTTGATTAAGACTCGAAGCCGTGTGACAAACTTTCGTCTGGACGCAACGGCGTTCTGGTAACGGAGACGGATTATGGCATTTTAACGATCAAATAAATGTTCTGTGGCTTGACAATGGCTTCCGAAGACACATACTTTAAAATTATTTGCCTGGTGTAAATAAACATTCACACAGAAATGAAGCTTGATAGAATGTCAGCTCGAAATTATATTGAGAGAAGCATATTCAATCTGTGCCTTCAAGGGTAATTGCAAAGAAGAAAAAGTGTTTTTTAACAGTTTAATTGGGACAAGCATGTCACAGATGTGTTTTTCCGCGAACCAAAAAAAAAATGTTTACAGCAATATTTATTGTGCGAGACTGATATTAGGTTAGAGCTATTTCGTCCGTTTTAAATCGCGAGCCACAAAGCTGGTGTTATACGTCACGGAGTGGCTGCTATACTTCCCATTGGCTAAGAGATTGATTGACAAATAAGATCTTGGTTTTAAACCGTTGTTATATGTTGTAATATCCTTTTGAGTGGCATATTTTTACGTTTAAAGACTAACCTATGTAATTAGAGTATTATTCTTTACAAAAGGTTTACAAAACGGGCCTTTCCGTTTAGATTCATACCATAACAAACAAAAAGCTTCGCCATTTTTTCACAGTCGCCGAAGTTCCTGCTCTCGCCTGTGTCGCCTACCTCGACTAGTCATTTCGCCTAAGTGATCAGTGTTTTGTGTTGACCCAGGTGCTTGAGTGAGGCTTCCTGAAGTGAAGTAGTTTGTGTTTAGCAGCTGTTGCAGGTGTTAGTGATAGCAAACGACGCGGGTTTTGGCTTTTATGGTGCGGTTTGTTACTTTCGTTTTCCTCTTTGCTTTCTCAGCGTGTTTTTTTGTTGTTATGTTTTGTTGTTGTTGTTGTTTTTCTGTTTTGTTTTGTTTTTTGTTTTTGTTTTTTGCTTGCACGTGCAAATGCTGATTTTTCGGAGAAGTCAGCTTCCGTAAAATGGCGCCGTTGCTCTGTAGAGTGGTGCCAGATGAGTGATCGCAACAGTGACTCTTCCCACAGTCATGTCGCCCCGAAAGATGACAAGCTGAGTGCTCTTTGGCTAGAGGCAATCCGACGTTCGCGTAGCGACAGACATGTCCAGGTATGTTCTCATCATATCGCTCCGGGGGCCTTCGAGATTCGCACAGTGCGCACCGAACGTGCACGACTGAGACACAGCTGTTAGGTAAAAAATGTGGCACAGCAAGGTTATTACGTAGCAGCTGTCCGCAGGAGCCTTCAGGCGTCTAAACTCTGCGTTTGCCGACAGATCTTTTTTTCTCGGCTTCCGAATCATCTTACGTAAAGTTGTTTGAATTGAACGTGTAGTGTTATAGTAAATGTGTACTGTTATCGTAAATCTTGACTTGCGAGTGTGCCTTTCTAGATCATCTTATTAGTTTTGCTGGTTGCGGACGGCGG